GTCCAGTTAATGAGACACATGGAGAAAGAGAGAATGAGAGATACAAAGAAAGAGAATGAGACAAAATTTATACCAAAAGTCCAGTTAATTCCCTCTTTACCTGAACAACATTATACACTCCATCTGGTACACCTGCATCAGCCAGGACCTCCCCTAAGGTTACAGCTGTGAGTGAACTGTGATGGTTTGTACACAAATGTATTCCCACAGGCCAAAGCTGGAGCAACCTGCAAAGGACCAATATGTTTTGAATAATTTATTTGTGACTACGACTAGGAATCAACATTTCAGGACTGAATCCTTCAATCTTGAGTATTGCAGAAATTAAAACTGATAAGACAACAGCAAATGCAATAATTCTAGAAATATTACCAATTATGAGAAATCGTGAATGACATTATGAAGAAAAACAGCTAAATGCTGAAACTCAAAAAAACTAAATCATGTTAAAAATCAGCTGATACTATGACGCACTAAGATCTAGTACGTTTACAATGTTGCAAGATAAAACAAAGTAGGGATTTCTGATAAGCTTATCTATAGCACAAAATCCCTTTATAATTACCATATCTGTTTCACATGAAATAAATCACCAGTAAACACTGAATTAGCTTCTTACTCTATCAGTCACAAACACTAACACATCAAAGAATATACCAAGCATGAGGTATCATTATGGATGGACGTAACATGGTCCACTACATATGAGCAAACACGGACAAATCAAATCACCTTCCAAATGCAGGTCTGCATGGGGAAGTTCCACGCACCAACACCTCCTATGACCCCAAGTGGCTCCTTTTGTACCATGGCAAAGGATCCTCCGGGTAATGGAACGTGCTGACCTACATGAGACAAGAGATGTCATGTTAGTTCTAGGTAGGTTGATGTCTATGACACTGAAACAGTGGCTCTGAGGATTACTTTTAAACAATTATAACAAGCACTATTTCAATTTCCTGAAAAACATACTGTAAACAAAAGCAGCATTTACTATGTAATAAGTAAGTATATATGTGTTTTTGCATGTGTGTAAGTGAGGGAAAAGAAGTAAACCTCTCCTTGCAAAACAACACTAAAGCACAAAGCAATAACACAAACGTCTTATACCGTAAAATATGTCACCCACCAACAATACAGGGAGCAAGACCCCCATAGTACTCCAAAGCATCAGCACACGAGGTAATATCCAGACGTGCTTCCCAAATAGGTTTTCCAGTGTCCCGCACCTGTTGTGAAATTTAAATGGACATCATTAAACAGGTTCATACACAACCATGTAATAATTATTCATCTATGACAATATTTCTCATAACCATGACTATGAAGCACTAACCTCCAACCTGGATATATCTTCAAGGTTTTCCCTGATAATCTGTCCTGCTCTTAACAGCTTCTCTCCTCTTTCTCTTCCTGAGAGCTGAGAGGAAATAATTCTTACTCTCATGTTTTCTAAACATTCTTCAGGGAGATTACTGATTTTGTATCTAAAATATACAGCAAATAACACTGGTACAGAGTAATCTTTCAATGACTTTTAAAAGAGAAAAGAAAGCCTTACTTTACTCCATGTTGCAAATACTCCTTTAGCAACGCCAACAGCTCGGTTGACTTCTTCTGTTCCAGAGATGGGTACACCGCAAAGGAGCTCTCCAGAGGCAGGTTCAATAACCTACAAAAGATAATCTTCATCAAATATATTCCTTTTTGGCTAACTCTCCTTATGTTTTACATATATACATTAGAGTGGCACATTCACTAAGAATTCAGGCATTTCGTCTTAGGCTTCTATTATCAATAGACTTCCTAATAATTTTCATTTACTACTTATTAAGCAAAATATTTGATAAGACAGAGCATTCCCTAAATAGGATTAATTATACTCTAGCTTGACATGTGGTCATCTACTTTGTTACTATCCAGAATTAAAGAAAATTATACTTAATGCTTCTTGCTGATAAATTGTAAAGGACTACAAAATTAACACAGTGAAATCAAAAGGGACCAACAAATTAAAAAAATCAAAGGCTACATGATTTTTTTTAATTAGAAAAGAAAAGCAGCAATCCATGAATACAGCAACAGCAAGGAGAAGGAGAAAAGGTAAGGTTACAATAAAAAAGAACACGCAAAACAATACTATCAAACAAATTCTGGACAAAGCAAATGCATGCCTATAATCAGTTACAAAGCCTGCTACTCTTTGCTCACATGAGGCTAAATCCACTTGCACCTCCAGCAGCTATGTCTCATTGCTCCTGTCCAAAATAAAATTTGTGGTGCAGCTAACTTTCTCAAGAAGTATTTTAAGTTATATTGAGTGTAGTATCTGCTGGGGATATCTATTTTCCTGGGGAATGTGTAACTATCTTGCTTGGTGGTGCATGCATAAAAGTTCAAAGGCAAAATGGTCTTTAAACTATTCTGGATAAACAAAATTCATCAATGAAAATAGTCAAGCAGCAAAAAGACCAGCACATATCAGAGAGCAAATAATGATAATAAATGCGTATCATCATTACCATTATCTTTATACAGCTCCCATAAAGTGGTCTCCGCAGAGGGTTTTAAAAAGGGGCCCTAGTGAGAGTGGTAGGTTCGGAAATTCCCTCTCCCTTGCCTTGGCTGGATAATGTTACTCTTCACTAGGATCTAAGTGACAAAGCCTTGCCATAGCAAGTGCATGTGCACAAAAAAGCATGAAATTCCTCCAAGGTGGGCCTCTTTAGTGTGCCAAGCCAGCCAGTGCCATAAGTTGAGTGATACTCTTAATAATAATAATAATAATAATAATAATAATAATAATAATAATGATAATGATGATGATGATGATGATGATGATGATGATGATGATGATGATGATGATAATGATGATGATGATGATATATAATAATAATAATAATAATAATAATAATAATAATAATAATAATAATAAAAGTTCTACTGCATTCTTCATAAAAGCCTTCATTCTATACTACACGAGATATTGACACCTTAATGCTAAATATAACAATCCCACAACGTTCATCAATGATCAATCCCACAAACATGTAATTCATATCAAAACATTAACAGGTGCCCTATAACCTCTACGCACAGTTTACTATCTGTGCTTCAGGAAATCAAAGGTCTTATATCTTTATATTTTAAAATCTTCGAGACATAGAAGATAGTGCATACTTTATGAAATATGTCTCTCCCTTCCCCCTAATGTACCACGTGCCGCTGGACTGGATAGAATAGGGGGTTGTTAACACAGAAACGAATGCTCCACGACGGAAATAAACGGCCGATTTGTCATCTCAATGTACACAAAAAACATCACGTTTTATATGAAAACCAAGTTGTCTTACACTAAAAATTTCATCACCTACTAAAAAAAAAACATATATCAAACCAAAAAAAAAAAAAAAAAAAAAAAAAAAAAAAAAAAATAATAATAATAATAAACCTCACCAACATATAAAACCTTAAACCCTAGAAGTACATAGAAAAATGATAAAAGCTTAAAGCACCTTCATCGATCCAGAACTATCAACCGGAAGACAACGCTTGCCAGCCACGAAGTTCCATGGGCCGCGGATGGTCCTCGTAATGTTTCGGCTGATCACTCGGGAGCTGAGGCCACTTGCCATCTGATATTGGAAAAGAAAGACGTATGATCATTGCGTTACTACTGCACTGAACAGGATGAAGGAGGAGGAGGAGGAGGAGGAGGAGGAGGAGAGAGGAGGAGGAGGAGGAGGAGGAGAGGAGATGGAGATGGAGAGGAGATGGAGATGGAGGAGGAGGGAGGAGATGGAGATGGAGATGGAGATGGAGGAGGAGGAGGAGGAAGAGGAGGAAGAAGAGAAGATGGAGAGGAAGAAGAAGAATGATGAGGATAGAGATGAAGGAGGAGAGGAGGAGAAGCAGACAGAGAAGGAGAAAAAGTTTCTATTATTCACATATGTATAATAATCTTAACAGCTCTCTCTCTCTCTCTCTCTCTCTCTCTCTCTCTCTCTCTCTCTCAACTGGGAATAAATCTTAAATTCAGAGGCATCCTAGTTTTCATATCATCATTTTGAGGAATTTGATAAATGTAAACAGATGAAAAGGATGAAAGCTATTCAGAGAAAATATAAATCTTACTAAATTTGGGTGCTCGTAAATATTTTCTATTCTCACAGGAATATCACCTTCATTCACAAACTCTCTAATGTCATCATATATCAGGCTTGAGCGATAAATCCCCCATCCTCTCGCTCTTCCCTTACATCGAGGATTTTTCCATCATGTTACTGAAAAAATTCCACTGATTCTCCTCTCAAAAAATGTATATGGAGAAACTAATAATTTCTTTCTTATTCTACTGTAAAAAAAAAAAAAAAAAAAAAATAATCATCGAAGGGCCTGACAGCTAATCTGCTACGAATTCTAAAGATTTTCCCGAAGACAAATATTTAAATAAAAATAAACAAATGACATGGAAATATTCGGGACGTAGGCCTACATAGCAACAGGGCCTAAAACCATAATTAAACCTATTTCAACCTCCTAAGACGAGTGTCAAGTCCTCTCACCCACCTCACATCATATCTCGATACCTGTTCATCAAGAATTATCAAAGAAAGACCGAAATATATCGAGAATTCACTTACTTTTCAAGGTTTTAAGGAGCCAATTCCTGGAACGAAAGATAACCTGTCTACTCTCTTCGCCTCAGGTACGACGACGACTCACTCGCTCCGGGTTACGTAGTAGCGATACTTTTATTGCTTTTAATACACCATTTATCACTGGAATACGTATATCTTAATCAAAATAAAGATCAATTATGATATTAGATCTTTCTGTTCTATGCAAAAGAGTAAAAATGGTCACATAATATTAAGAAATTCCCTTTTATGGGTACTTTTTAAAAATTCTTCACTGAAAATATATAAAATATCTTTTCAGTGTTGGTATTAGTAAATATATATCCTATTTATCTAAAACAGAATTAGAATTATAAATGAAAATTGCGCGAATGAATATATATATATATATATATATATATATATATATATATATATATATATATATTATTATATATGTATATATATAGATATATATATATATAGATATAGATAGATATATATACATATAGATAGATATATAGATAGATAGATAGATAGATAGATAGATAGGACAGATAGATAGACGAGAGAGAGAGAGAGAGAGAGAGAGAGAGAGAGAGAGAGAGAGAGAGAGAGAGAGAGAGAGAGAGAGAGAGAGAGAGAGAGAGAGAGAGAGAGAGAGAGAGAGAGAGAGAGAGAGAGAGAGAGAGATTCAGTTATTCGCACATCCATTCAGTATTTCCTTATTCGCCCCTCCATTAGTTTCCCATTCTCGATACGCTCCCGTTTTCTATGAAAGACGGCCGCGTTTCCCCACCTTCCCTGGACTTAAACTCATCTTTAACTTCTCAAGATGCTTGACGATCCTAAAAGACCTTCAAGCATCTTGAGAAGAAGGGAAGGAGGAAGGGAGAGAGAAGGGAGGGGGAGGAAGAGAAGGGAGGGAAGGAGGGAGAGAGAGACAGAAGGGAGGGAAGGAGGGAGAGAGAGGAGGGGAGAGAGAAGGAGGGAAGGAGGGAAGGGGAGAGAGACGAGTGTGTGTGTGTGTGTGTGTGTGTGTGTATATATATATATATATATATATATATATATATATATATATATATATATATATATATATATATATATATATATATATATATATATATATATATATATATTTTCTTTTGTTTTTTGCCCTTTTTTCTTTTTTTTTTTCGCATTTCGTCATCGAGAGCGGGGAAGGAGGCCCCCAAGACCTTCATCACTCACGCTGAGGAAGACCCCGGCAAAGAAAGAAGACTCTCTCTCCTCATCACTCTCTCCCTCTTCCCCCTTTCCTCCTCTCTCCTCATTCTCCTCTCCCCCCTCCTCTCCTCACTCTTTCTCCCTCTTCCCCCTCCTCCTCTCTCCTCACTCTTCTCCTCTTCCCCCTTTCTCCTCTCTCCTCTCACTCTTCTCCCTCTTCCCCCTTTCCTCCTCTCTCCTCACTCTTTCTCCCTCTTCCCCCTCCTCTCTCTCCTCACTCTCTCCTCTTCCCCCTCTCTCTCTCACTCTTTCTCCCTCTTCCCCTTTCCTCCTCTCTCCTCACTCTTTCTCCCTCTTGCTCTCTCCTCACTCTTTCTCCCTCTTGTCCCCTCTCCTCCTCTCTCCTCACTCTTTCTCCCTCTTGTCCCCTCTTCCTCCTCTCTCCTCACTCTTTCTCCCTCTTGTCCCCTCTCCTCCTCTCTCCTCACTCTTCCCTCTCCCCTCTCCTCCTCTCTCCTCACTCTTTCTCCCTCTTCCCCTCTCCTCCTCTCTCCTCACTCTTTCCCTCTTCCCCTTTCCTCCTCTCTCCTCACTCTTTCTCCTCTTCCCCTTTTCCTCCTCTCTCCTCACTCTTTCTCCTCTTTTCCTCCTCTCTCCTCATCTCCCTCTTCCCCCTTTCCTCCTCTCTCCTCACTCTTTCCCCTCTCCTCCTCTCTCCTCACTCTTGTCCCCTCTCCTGCTCTCTCCTCACTCTTTCTCCCTCTTCCCCCTTTCCTCCTCTCTCCTCACTCTTTCTCCCTCTTTCCCCCTCTCCTCCTCTCTCCTCACTCTTTCTCCCTTCCTTTCCTCCTCTCTCCTCTCATCCTCTCCTCACTCTTTCTCCCTCTTCCCCTTTCCTCCTCTCTCCTCACTCTTTCTCCCTCTTCCTCCTCTCTCCTCACTCTTTCCCCCTTCCTCCTCTCTCTCATCCTCCTCTCTCCTCCTCTTTCTCCCTCTTCCCCCTTTCCTCCTCTCTCCTCACTCTTTCTCCCTCTTCCCCCTTTCCTCCTTCTCCTCACTCTTTCTCCCTCTTTCCCCTCTCCTCCTTCTCCTCACTCCTCCTCCTCACTCTTTCTCCCTCTTTCCCTTTCCTCCTCTCTCCTCACTCTTTCTCCCTCTTCCCCCTTTCCTCCTCTCTCCTCACTCTTTTCCCTCTTTCCCCCTTTCCTCTCTCTCCTCACTCTTTCTCCTCTTCCCCCTTTCCTCCTCTCTCCTCACTCTTTCTCCTTCTTCCCCCTTTCCTCCTCTCACCTCGCCACTTCCTCTTTTCTTCACCTTTCCCTCTTTCCTTCTCTCTCCTCACTCTTTCTCCCTCTTCCCCCTTTCCTCCTCTCTCCTCACTTTTCTTCTCGCCTTTTCTTTACTCTCTCTCCTCACCCTTTCTCCCTCTTCCCCTTTTACCTCCTCTCTCCTCACCCTTCTCTATCACCTTTCCTCATCCCTTCCTCCTGTCTCTCCTCACTACCTCCTTCTCCCTCTTTCCTTCCATCCTCTCTTTTCATGTTCTTTTTTCCATTTCATTCATTGTTCATTCTTTTCACATTCTCTCGGATTCTCTATTTCCCCGAATCGCTCGCGCAGTTTCCCACAAAAGATATATAAACAAAAACAGCAACTAAAAAAAAAAAAAAAAAAAAACGAAAAACAAAACAGAATAATGAAAATTTAAAGATACACTAAAATAAAAGAATTATAAATATTGTTCTCTTTTGAATTGTGGATTTTATACAGCGCTGAAACAAAATAACAATGGCGGGAAAAAATACGATCAGCCGAGAAACTAAATCCATTAGTAAGCTTTCTTTTTATATATCGGATCCTAACTTGTATTAGATTTTAAAGAAATGCTGTATGTATATCACATTTCGTTTACATACTCACACATACACGGATACACACACACACGCGCACGAACATACGCATACACAGACACAGACACACACATTCATAGAAACAAACGCACAGATACATACATACGCACACATATACACATACACAGAACAAAACACACATAGACACTCACGGAGGTATAATTTTGCTTTACACAAACGATCCTTTTCTATTCCTCACCTCCCATCTTTCATATACGCTTTCATTTTATTTTCTATTCTTATTACGCGTTAGAGGTGCATTCAAAGAGAGAAATGACAAGAAAACGAGAAAGAGAAAGAAGAAGAGAGAGGGAGGGAGCAATTTCAAATATAGAAAGGTCCGAAGCAAAAAAAAAAAAAAAACAGCCATAAACAATCCATTTAAATAATAATTTTCTATATAACCTTCGCCATTCCGATATCGACGATTCGTTGGATTCCTCTCACTCTGTACAATCCAAATATGTAGGTTTTATTGCTTGGACCCCCCCCCCCCCCGTTAGCGGCAAACTTGGCCCCGATAGCAGGGGCGACGATGTCGGAGCGGCGGACGTAATATAGAAAATTACCCTAATAATATAACCCACACTGCAAATAACCATGGTTATTACACACGACTTTCCATGGCAGGGGGGGATGCCGCCCCCAACCCCCGCCGAGGACACAAAATATCCCCCACGGATTCACGGCAGGATAGAGCGCACACGGACTAGATGCATCGAAACTGGCGCGAAACCCGCCGACCCGACGAGGGCGGGCCACCGCCGCTCTTCTGGTCGTGGTTTACCTTGTTCGTCCTGATTATAACTACAATCGTATCTGTATACAATTTGACTATGTCGCTGTCCAACCTGCAACCGTGCGGCTTTGTTTTTTAAGGACAAAAAAAGTTTATTCACCATGAAAAGAATCTAGACTATGGTGCACGCCTTGTTACTTGGCAATCATTGCTGCAAAACCGCTAAAGTAGACATTGAAATCCACTAGATAAAATTAAAACATTTTCTGTTAAAAACAACAACATAGAGAACATTATAAAAATTCCCGTTCGATCATAGCCCAAAAACCGCTAGAATGGCAACACTGGCGCATGAGATCAAAAGATTTTTTTGACTGGTTTTGTTCTCAGTCTTTGCCGGAGCGCCGGAAGGGGTGGTGGTGGGGGTAGGGGTGAGAACGCGACACTTGGGGCTATTTACGTATAGTTTTGGTGAGAATATTCATACCATCATACACATACATACGCACGAATATAGACACACACGCACATGAACTCGAACACGTACACACACACACGCTCACAACCACGACACGCCTACGCACACGCCCACATATATTCATCTATTTTACCGATGTATTTTAATTTTGACTATTTTTATCTACGTCTCTATGTATCTATCTATATATATATATATATATATATATATATATATATATATATATATATATATATATAAATTTATACACTTTCGCTGATTGATTTATTTGTTGAAAGTTTGGTTTGATTATCAATTTATTCATATTCGTTGTAAAGTGCAAAGGTGTTCTTTTATGTGGGATCATTCCTAATTGGAGAATTATATTTTAGGCTTTATTTGATTATTTTTTTTCAAATATTGTCACTTATATACCCAGTTTTCTATGATTCCATTCGGTCTTTAATGCTTTGTTATTCGCACATCCATTTATTTCCTTATTCGCCCCTCCATGTTTCCCATTTTCTATGAAAGACGGCCGCTTTTCCCCATCTTCCCTGGAATATGCATGTGCGTGTGTGTGTGTGTGTGTGTGTGTGTGTGTGTGTGTGTGTGTGTGTATATATATATATATATATATATATATATATATATATATATATATATATATATATTTGGTTTTTTTTTTTTTGCCCTTTTTTTTCTTCTTTTTTCACATTTCGGCATTCGAGAGCGGCGGAAGGAGGTCCCCCAAGACCTTCATCACTGACGCTGAGGAAGACCCCGGGAGAGACCTTCAGTCCCTCTCCTCCACCTGC